CTGCCACAGAGCCGATATTTTTTATTATTATTTAGGAGATAAACCTAGTGTGTTTGAAAATCAGAGACATGCTTTACTGAATTGATGGCGACTAAATATTTCAATTGAAACCTCACGCTACGCGTTCGGTTCCAATTGAAATGTACATGCTTTACTGAATTGATGGCGACTAAATTTCAATTGGAACCGAACACGTAGCCTGAGGTTTCAATTGAAATATTTAGTTGCCATCAATTCAGTAAAGCATGTCTCTGATTTTCAAACACACAAGGGTTATCTCCATTCTACCATGACCCATTTAAAATCGAACTTACTCGCTCTGCGGAAGACACTGCTTAATCCGGCGTGGGACGAGAGGCGAATTGAACTCGTCTGTGAAGGGAGCGGTAGGTGCCGTTCGTATTTTTTTAACATTACAACATAAACATATTCTGTCCAAAGAAATCAAACTACTGTTTCCACTGCAATTATGTAATACCCGAGATCTTGTTTTTTTTCATCCAAACTCCACACGACTAAAACCAGCCTATTGTTTTGTGTGCTGTGAAACTGTACCCCGCTGGCCACACTATAATGGAATCGTCTGACCTACTTTTTTTCTTCGAAGTAGACAGTTACGCAACAGTTTGAAATGGCGGACGAGCCAGTGTTTACATTTTTACAAGGTTGAAATTTGAAGTGACAGTGGACAATACTTGACTGACTGTCGAATCTGAACCCTGCAGAATCGAAGAATAGATCCTTTCCTGATCAACCTACGACCTGTAACTCATCAAAGACTGTTGATTTTTATGACCGGCCGATCATGATTTCACGTACGTGCCTCTACCCCGGTATGCGACAAAAGAGTGACAGTGCTGCTGCTTAGTGTACATGCGACTAACTTGTGATTCCTTGGAACGTTGTTTTCATCGTTTGGGACTGGACTGTGTCCAAGCGTTTTTCAAAGTATATGAGCATAACAGTGACAGCCTTGCGGGGAAGCTGGCAGAGAGCAGAAATATTTTGTGAACGATGCAACGGGATATGATGGAGTATGAAGTGGCATAAATGTGGTGTTTCGCCAGACCGTTATCTTGCGAATTTCCCATTCTAAACGGAAACAAATGTACCATTTACTAGGTAGGTAAAGGTTTACTAACGTCTGAAGGGATGGTGTAAATCCAACTGGTGTACATGCAAGAAGCAAATATGCTGTAAGTATAGTGACCAACCTTCAGTTGCTTGCAACCTTTTGCCTGTTTATATGATTTGTAATGTTTTCTATATTTAAATGTTTAAGATTTACATAATAGTTTCACATTTGTATCTGGGACGTTCTAGTCATTTAGCTGTCTTCGTTGACATGTTTTTATAATTTACCTTTATTTATTTTGAATCTATAACTTTTTTCTGGAAATATATGGCTGAAATACTGCCAATGTGACTTAAAATCGCAACCAACACTTACACACTCCATCTGAACATTTGTAGGAAGTGGATTAAACTTTGATAATAACTGTTATGAATCCTGACAAAAGGCATCCCAATGACAATTATAAACCCCCGTGTAAAGGGTTCTTAACTACGATCATTGTAAACCCCGTGTCTGGTCATTATATTCAGATGGTGTGATGAAACGAATGTAGTTCACTAGGAACATTCTTTGAAAATGGAAAGTCAGCTAGTTGTTGTTTAGTTAAGTTTTGCATCACATCGGCATTATCCCAGCCATTTAATGACGAGATCACTAAAGTAAGTACAACGTCCAAATGAGTTTTAAAAAACATATATCCATTGCAGTATTATTTACAAACAGAATATGTAATTTAAAAACAAGTAATCTGCCATCACATTACATAGTTACAATTTATGATACAGATCAATTTCCCTTAAGTAGTTCAAAATGAGAGGCCCGCTGACGTGGGATATTTCAGAATTCCTTTATAATGTGGGTCCCTCGCAGTTGAAGAGTCCGCACAGTGAAGCAGAACATCCTTGGTGGTGAACACTTGGCCTCAAAAGACACACATAGGAGGTATATCTCCATCCATTTTCAGCAGATGGTTTTCCTACGTGACCCGGCAACCAGCAGAGGACGATGTCACATTGGCCAGCAGAAAGATCGTTCTCAGGTTTTAAAATGTCCAGGACGATAGGGTGACTCGAAGTGGCATTTTGAAGTGCTTGAAGGCAAGACAGTCTGTAAAAATTATTTGTTTGAGTGGCATTTAGACGTTGGTGTGATGAACAACGAGGAGAGTTCTATGGATATACAACTTGTTTAATATAATATGAGTGACGTTTCAGTGTAGCTACTAACACCGTTATCACATCAATGTGGACTTTGCAAATCAACTCATTTATTAGTAAAAACAAACAAATAATAACAACAATAACAACAAAAAAGAAGAAAAAGCCCAACAACCCCAAAAAAAAACAAAACAAACAAAAGAAACAAACACACACACGCACAGAGAGAGAGAGAGAGAGAGAGAGAGAGAGAGAGAGAGAGAGAGATAGAGAGAGAGATGCAACAAAACCAACAAACAAAAGAAACAAACACACACACGCGCAACACACACGCACAGAGAGAGAGAGAGAGAGAGAGAGAGAGAGAGAGAGAGAGAGAGAGAGAGAGAGAGATGCAACAAAACAAAACCAAAAGGGTTCGCAGCCCCTTAACTCCTTAAAATCAAACAAAAGAAACAGAGAGAGAGAGAGAGATATATACACTCACACAAAAAAAACAAAAGGGTTCGCAGCATATAATATTCAACATTTGTTATATTAGGGATAACACATTCTCGGTAATGTAAACATTTCACTACATAATCTGTACTTTACTGAAACAATATAACATAGTACCTTTCACCACCTTACAAATGGCACTGTATATTGGTGACAACATTACGTGTTCACTGCATTTTATTCATGGGTGTATGTATATTCAGTGCTCAGAGTTAAACAAAATATTGTTGTTAACTTGTGTGCGTATCGTAGCATACATACGCAATGTGTACATTAACAGTTTTTTTAATGTTTCACCCAACACATTCGTTCCCGTGTCAATGGTGCGGCAGCATATAGTTAAAAGCTGTTGTTTCAGTTTCACTCGATACTGTGTCCGTGTCAAATAAACATCAAAACATTATCATTTTATATCGATCCAGCAACACATGCTGACTGATTTTGAAGCAGACAGTGAAGTACAATTGCATTCCATTCTCTGCTCAGAAAACCAGGATGATCTGCGTGATTCTTGAAAGCTTAGATTATTAAAATGCTTTTGTTGTGAGCTTATGTTAGATGAGTGGAGTTAGTGGTGTCGTTGTCATGTGTCATGTGTCATGTGTCATGAGCGTAGTTAGTGATGTGGGTATGTGACATGAGAACAGCAGTGTGGTTGTCGTGTGTCACAAGTGCTTTTGTTATAAGTCTTTGTGACGTGGGTGTAGGGCGTGGTGTGGGCATCATGTGACGTGTGTGTAGGGTGTGGTGTGTTCATCTTTTGGCGTGTTGGTTATGTTGTGGTGTTTTCGTTATGTGATGTGTGTGTACGGTGTGGTGTGGTCGTCATGTGAAGTGGATGGTGTGGTCATCATGTATCGTGTGTAGGGTGTAATGTGGTCGTTATGTGATGTGTGTGTACGGTGTGGTGTGGTCGTTATGTGAAGTGGATGGTGTGGTCATCATGTATCGTGTGTAGGGTGTAATGTGGTCGTTATGTGATGTGTGTGTACGGTGTGGTGTGGTCGTTATGTGAAGTGGATGGTGTAGTCATCATGTACCGTGTGTGGCACTGTGTATTTGAGACAACGATACGTGATCATTGCATTTTATTGACGGGTGTATATTCAGTGCTCAATGTTCAACAAAATATCGTGGCTTGCGTGTGTGCGGAACGTAGCATACATACGTAATGTGAACATTAACAGGTTTGTTTGGATGATTCAACCAACACATTCGTTCCGGTGCCAATGGTGCGGCAGCATACAGTTAAATGCTGTCGTTTCAGTTTCACTCGATAGTATGTCTGTTTCAAACATATATCCAAACATTATCATTATACATCGAGCCATGTGACGTGTGTGTAGGTTGTGATGTGGTTGTCATATGACGTGTGTGTAGGTTGTGATGTGGTTGTCATGTGACGTGTGTGGAGGATGTGGTGTGGTCGTCATGTGACGTGTGTGTAGGTTGTGATGTGGTTCTCGTGTGACATGTGTGTAGGGTGTTGTGTGGTCGCCATGTGACGTGTGTGTAGGTTGTGATGTGGTTGTGATGTGACATATTTGTAGGGTGTGGTGTGGTCGTCATGTGACGTGTGTGTAGGGTGTGGTGTGGTTGTCATGTGACGTGTATGAAGGGTGTGGTGTGGTCGTCATGTGACGTGTGTGAAGGTTGTCATGTGGTTGTCATGTGACGTGTGTGTAGGGTGTGGTGTGGTCGTGATGTGACGTGAGTGTAGGGTGTGTTGTGTTCGCCATGTGACGTGTGTGTAGGTTGTGATGTGGTTGTCATATGACGTGTGTGTAGGGTGTGGTGTGGTTGTGATGTGACTTGTGTGTAGGGCGTGGTGTGGTTGTCATGTAACGTGTGTGTAGGTTGTGATGTGGTCGTCATCTGACGTGTGTGTAGGTTGTGATGTGGTTGTGATGTGACGTGTGTGCAGGGTGTGGTGAGGTCGTCATGTGACGTGTGAAGGGTGTGGTGTGGTTGCCGTGTGACGTGTGTGAAGTTGTCCGACTTCCATTTTTTGTTGAAGCCGCGGTGGCTGAGTTGTCTAGGCGTCTGACGTTGTGTGCTGGCGATTAGGTGCCTGACTCTGAGGGTGTGGGTTCGAATCCCGGATGGGACTCAACCCAAAAAGTACTAGAATCTGTACTTTACAAAGAAAGTGTCATCCCAAATATAACATATGTTGTTGCGTAACTGAAGAATTTCCAAGAATATAATACAGCCAACAATCTATCAAGCTGCTATGATATCCAAAACAAGAAAGGACAACAATATATGGATCAACAACTTCTTTTTTATTACAATGGGAGCGACGTTTGTTGATATGATTTCTGAAATGTCTAATAATAAAGAAAAACAACCAGTCTTAAACCTAGTTTGATAAGGAGAATGAAGGACATTGTTCACAGAGAAGTGAAAGCATTTTTATCCAAAGTCCTGCCTATTTACAATGCCAATTTTGACAACTCCGTCTAATCGTATTCCACATGTCACGCTTTTAAGAAATATTCTTACAATAACTCCAGATATAAGTTATGTGAATCTACTGATGGACAAGAGGCTGTTCAAATGATAAGTCACGAATTAAACTGACGCGATCAAGTTTGATTTCTATGTAAATAGTTCATGCACAGGGCATAATTGATGATCCTCAAATGGTGGCCTTCAAATCATGACGACCTGAAGTGAGAAACATATATTTACTCAGTATTATTAGGTAACCAACAAGTAACCATTTTTTTGCCAATGCACTTAGAACAGTATTCCATACCCGTGAACGTTCGGGTTAGAATTTGTCTACAGCGACTCATGCTCGTCATAAGGGGCGACTAACGGGATCGGGTGGTATCCCAACTGCGATGACTGATACTAATGCTGTCCCTCACTGGATTTGTTTTGTGTTGTTGTTTTTTTTACCATTTGTTCACTTGTTTATAGGTACAGTACATGTGGTCAACGTATGACATTGATAGGTACAATTGTGCTGATATACAAGATTACAAAAGCAATTAATGATATTTCTATAAAAAAAAGTCTGCAAATGGCATCAGATGCCATGATGCCATATGTATGGGTATGTATGTATGTATGTATGTATGTATGTATGTATGTATGTATGTATGTATGTATGTATGTATGTATGTATGAATGTATGTATGTATGTATGTATGTATGTATGTATGTATGTATGTATGTATGCATGCATGCATGCATGTATGTGGGTATGGGTATATGCATGCATGCATGCATGCATGCATGTATGTATGTAATCCCTCACTGGATTGCCTGGCTCCAGACAAGACAATGTACAGTCCGCTGCACATAGATTTAATATTGCTCGGTGCGGCATTAAACCACATACAAACTAACAAACAAAATAATATTTCCAATTAAACAAACTCAGATTTGTTAGGACTGAACCGGGTTCTGGCCTCTAGGCGTGACAATCGATTGCTTCAAACGCCAAGACCCGCGCTCGATTTGTGCAGCCTATTTCTGGTGTCCCCCGCCGGGAATATTGCTAAAAGCAGCTTAAAACTGAATTCACTCTCACTTTGTACAGTTCACTGATCAGCACTCTGATGGACTTGCTATCAAATTGAAATATGCTTTGTACCATGAGCTAAGACAACAAATACAAAGTCTATTTCAGTTTGAACTCAAAATGCGACTTACAAACTTTAATTTCTTTCCGTACATACTTGCATAGACCTTCGACCAGGTTCCTCAGACCTCTCGCGGAACATTGTATGACGATGGCTCCCCAGGTCAAGCTTGTTCATGACCAGTTTATGATGTTCCTGAAACCTTTTGATGTGCAGGACCGTTATTTGCTCACCCGAGTCTAGCTTGTAAACCTCCACTCTCCTTGAAAAATACATTTTTATGTAGTGTAATGTTTACTAAATGCAACGATTATTTTTTACAGGAATTAAAATTGGAAAATCTGCTGGATTACATCTTCAGGTGCCGAAAAGCAATTTCATGCTAAATTCAATTTCATACTCACATTCGCGCTCAGTTTTGAATTCAAGAAGAGGTTGTAAAACTTTCCAGTACAAAAGTAGGAAACCGACCCAGATATTGGCGTCTGGTGATTTGCAACGGCAAGGGAATGAAACGTGAAAAGAGTAGGTTCGAGACGGAGGAGGTTTGTATCATTCAATAATTTGTCCAGAGAGCTCAAGTCTTGTTTGGTAAGATCAGTGGAAGTAGACTCAAGTCCACCCATTGACAGCGAACGACTGGATGACAAGACATCATGCCATTATTGACACCGAATTCAGCGTGGGACACAGTCCACAGTAGCCATGAAATTTCTTTTTTTCATATTCAAATTCAGCACGAACACGAACTCAGATTTTTAAAAACCTTCGTTTATAGAGTCAGAGTGACGAGTTTCCACGGAATGAAATCGTACTCAGGAAAGTTTTATTACCTCGGGGACAGATATTTAGACACGCATCCCGTATTCCAGTCACTCCAGCATCAACGTGTACAGTGGTGCAAGTCCTGGTAGAATTAAACATCTTGCATCCATGCCTAGCTGTAGCCGAGAGCCGCGATGCTGTCTTATACAGTCAAGACATTACACTGAATCGCCAGAACACCACCTTTAAACTCCTATTCAGATTCTAGTGGCCGATTGCCCTTCGTATTTTCTTCTATAAGGTCGCCATGGTGGACATAAAGTATATTGAATGTGTGCAATCTGTTTTTTATGACTTACGAGCGGGAACTATAAAGCCGATCCCGGTATGTCCATTATTGTTTGTTGTTTAACACCGCATGTAGCAATGTCCCAACTGTATAACCCCGGTCTGTAAATAATCGAGTTTGGATGAAACAATCCAGTGGTCAACATCACGAGCATCGATCTAACCAACTACTGGGGTACGATGACATTTGTCCGCCAAGTCAGCGAGCCTGACCACCCGATCCCATTAGTCACCCTTACGACAAGCATAGGTTCCTAAAACTAATTGCAATCAGGATCACCACGGATGAATGCATGTTGATATAGTGTATATAAATGATTATGAAAGTGTGCAATCAGCTTGTTACATCATGTGTAATACCAACATGACCATATATGGAATTTTCCTTCTATTGACATTTTAGTCCTTGAAACTGTGTGACGGGATGACTGAGTGAGTTTACCTTTACGCCACACTCAGCTATATCCCAGCCATATGGCGGCAGTCTGTAAATGATCGAGTCTGGACCAGAAAATCCAGTGATCAACAGCATGAGCATTGATCTGCGCAATTGGGAACCGATCAGATGTGTCAACCAAGCCAACAAGCCTGACCACCTGATCCCGTTAGTCGCCACTTACGACAAGCATGGATTACTGAAGGTTCATTCTAACCCGGACCTTCATGTTAAAAGTTGAAAACTATTTTTGGACAATACAATGTAAAAATGGGCTATTAATCGCCAACAACTGAATGGAGATCGCTTAACTAGGGACCCTAGGGACTTACAGTACTTTTGCTTCCTGCGTGGACCCAAGCTGGTTTTATATCATCACTTCAGCCATCACAAAAATACTACGTTTAAAGAATCTGGTAAGCTTAAATTTATTTTGAATGTTTCGGGACTTACGTACACTCTCAGAAGGACAATAATTTTACAATACTTTAACACCTTTTGAGGGTAAGTTACTAATCTAAACGACAAATCATTACACGATGTTTTTTAGTTTGGTGAGGGTAAGATCGACCTGTGGTTTCACCATCTGCCACGGTGGCGAAGATAGAAGTTGGTAAGGTGCTATGATATCGAGATCAATTTTAGCTGCACATATGGGTGGTTGAATTCTGATTCCAAGTGGTGGAACCAGGTTTGGCAGATTAGGAAACAAGTTTTCATAGAGAGTTTAAAAACACAATTGTATGCTGGATTGGACTGATTTGAACGTAGTTTAGCGATATACTGCAGTGAAAGTTTAATGCGGCGTTGTTCAAGGGAAGGTTCGTTAGCCTTAGTATATAGACTTATGTAGACTGTCTACCGGAGAGGTCCTAAAAGCTCCCGGGCATAGCCTCAGGCCTTGCTGGTGGGTAGAATTAATTTTTCTAAATAGCTTTTGCAGGCTCCACCATGTAGCTGTACTCTCTATTTGAAATGACTTTTAACCCTCAAGAGCCTTCAAGCACTTTGTTTTCAAATATTTTATGTATGGTACGAATGTCAAGTGACGGTTGAATATGAGTCCCAGGAGTTCTATGCAAAGTTAGGGTCGAAGCGGTTTGTTGGATTATTGAACACTATTGCCGGTTTTGTTATCCTCAACCACCAGAATCCCTTCCTCTGCCGACACATGGTTGCCCAGTTTGGTCGCCTCGTACGACAGGCAATGGGGTGCTGTGGACCTATTCGACCTCTGATCCACACAGGGACAAAGAAGCATTAGCGATACATTGAATGTAGAACGTTGTACATAAGCATACACATCCATTTCACATATTGTATTGTCGGTAAGTATTTTATTTGCTCAGTTTCATTAAAGATGCCAAACAGAAATATCCCTGCACTGTAATTTACTGCTTTTCAACGTGTAACAAAATTACGGAGAACCTTTAACAAAGTCTACATTACAAACAAATCGGGCCTATTCTACGACGTTTATTTTTGAGATCATCAGAAAAACCAATTGGCATTGAGTTGGGGGTTGTGTCTTCTGTGCACTATGTTGTTAATATATAAATCAGCTTGATCCCATGAACACAACTTCTGTAATAATGTCAATGGATAAGGAAAGGTATGAATTATAACATAAAAGCAGACGTTACACATTAAGTGAGATGCACCCAAAGTACGAGTGCGTGAAACGGCATCCCAGAGAGTATTGCGTAGCGCTAATGAAGAACGCCCTCCGATACGGACTATAGAAATTTGGGGCATGTGCACATGTCACTTCGCTGTCGTTGAAACAAGAACTAGACGGGTTACATACAGCTCTATTATTATCTAAACTAAAAATATGACTGTTGCCTGTATATACAGGGAAATTATCTGGGAGTACATCTATATCGACTTTTCAGTCAAAAAACCCACGGAAAATAGATATAAAAAATCTCAAGAAAATACGAGGTGCAATCGGACACTAGAATCTGAACAGGAGTTATGTAGGTGGTATTCTCGGCCCTGATGCAGGGTCATGTATTGCCTTTATTGGCTCTCCGTTAACCTACCTGACATTGTTAACAAATCAGTTATTCAAAAAATCATTACCTTTCGTACTGATACAGGACGAAGAGTAGGTTCCCTTCCACTGACAGGTCGTCACACCTTTTGTTAATGTTCGTCACGTCTTCAAAGAACTTGCTGCTGCCGCCATTACGCTCGCAAAGTTTCTTCGGTTCTGGCAGGCACATATAAACACATGCACCTGTTGATTAAATAACAAATTGTATGTGTTTATGTTTGGTTTATTGGACGTTCTGAAATGTATCCCTGCTGTAGGAAGCGCTCCAGTAAGTGAGTGATTACTTACTAACCGGGACTGACGGATTGACTTACTAACTGGGACTGACTTACTAATTGGGACTGACGGATTGACTTACTGACTCGGACTGACGGATTGACTTACTAACTGGGACTAACGGATTGACTTACTAACTGGGACTAACGGATTGACTTACTAACCGGGACTGACGGATTGACTTACTAACTGGGACTGACGGATTGACTTACTAACAGGGACTGACGGATTAACTTACTAACCAGGACTGACGGATTGACTTACTAACTTGGACTGACGGATTGACTTACTAATTGGGACTGACGGATTGACTTACTAACCGGGACTGACGGACTGACTTACTAACCGGGACTAACGGATTGACTTACTAATTGGGACTGACGGATTGACTTACTAATTCGGACTGACGGATTGACTTACTAATTGGGACTGACGGATTGACTTACTAACCGGGACTGACGGATTGACTTACTAACCGGGACTGACGGATTGACTTACTCACCGGAACTGACGGATTGACTTACTAACCGGGACTGACGGATTGACTTACTAACCAGGACTGACGGATTGACTTACTAACTGGGACTGACGGATTGACTTACTAACAGGGACTGACGGATTGACCTACTAACTAGGACTGATGGCTTGACTTACTAACTGGGACTAACGGATTGACTTACTAACCGGGACTGACGGATTGACTTACTAACTGGGACTGACGCATTGACTTACTAACCGGGACTGACGGTTTGACTTACTGATTGGGACTGACGGATTGACTTACTAACCGGGACTGACGGACTGACTTACTAACCGGGACTGACGGATTGACTTACTAACCGGGACTAACGGATTGACTTACTAACTGGGACCGACGGATTGACTTACTAATTGGGACTGACGGATTGACTTACTAACCGGGACTGACGGATTGACTTACTAATTGGGACTGACGGATTGACTTACTAATTGGGACTGACGGATTGACTTACTAATTGGGACTGACGGATTGACTTACTAACCGGGACTGACGGATTGACTTACTAACTGGGAGTGAATGATTGACTTACTAACTGGGAATGAATGACTGACTTACTAACTAGGACTGACTGAAGCAGTACTCAGCCTATCAGCCCCCAACATGGAAGTACAAGTACCTACGTTTGTTAACGGTGAGTGACATCAAGCATCTAATTCGGCTGTACAGATATTCTCTGTAATAGAGTATCTTCGTCTTCATCGGGTCGTGCAACCCAAGTCGCCAGAAAGAGAGAGCGTTTCACGTGGCCCTACTTCAGTCCACCATATCTCATCGCTTGGAAAAAATCAGACAGCAAAACAAACATGGAGTTAATGGACACTAATTCACGTCCCTGGATGACCAAACTTGTGTCAACAGCTTCACAGAAACTTATATTGAGAACGATTGTTATCATGAATGTTGCAGGATATTGGTCAACGTTCACATTTCTCCAATTCTGCCAACAGGTTACACAGAAACAGGTCACAATGTTCAAACAGACGAGGTCCTTAGAAACTTCTCGACTGATAAACAATATCGGCTTGATAACTATATGTTGGTAGAGCACCCATCCACACGAAATATTCTTTGAAAGCGACGGTTATTGAAAACATGTTGAAACATACAAAGCCCCACTGACCATTGAGAAAACTAGTGGAAAGTGAAGAATTTGGAATACGAGACCCGTTTGTTATAATGTCGACACTCAAGGTCACCAGTAAAGTATCGTTCAAGTTTTCTTTCATCTTAAGTTCCCTCTGTTTGAACCTGTACTGAGCAGTAGAGCAGTAATTTGTTAAGACCGACAGTGGTCAGTTCTGACCACTATCAAGGTCGACGTTTTGTCTGTTTGCTATGGTATCTATTTGACAGAATCTATTTGCATAACTGTGCAGGTAGCAGAAGTATTGTAGGCCCTCACGGTCCTTACCATGGTGGCCTAACTTTCGTTACTAGAGATCTCCTTTTTGTTTTCTGTTTGTGAATTCATCTTTCTATATGTTGTGTGCCCTCAAGCTACCTTCAAAAGCTGTATATGATAATCTTTCTGCTATACTGTACTCCTCCGACAAGGTTTATTAATGTTGAAATATTTTAGTCATTGATGTATATTTTTCTCACGTCACGATATATGCTAAATACTGCCGATGTGACGATACATTTTAGCTCACTCACTGGTGTCTTTGCTTAAGTATCCGTTCATGATGAACCTTAAAGTGAACTCATGCTAGCATACTTAGGTAGCATGTTTAACGCCGCACACAGCAATGTTCCAGCTGCGCAATTGGGATATGATGACATTTAGCAACCAAGTCAACGAGCTTGAACACCTCATCCAAGTAATCGCCTCTTAAGACAATGGGTGAGTGAGTGAGTAAATATTTATCGTCACATCAGCAATATTTCAGCCATATCGTGACGGACAAGCATGGATTGTTGAAGACCAATTCTATAACCATGTTTGACAAAAGGAATAGATTCAGTAAAATGAAACAAGAACTTGCTTGGTGTCAGCATAAAGCAGCCTGGGATTGTCGACGCTGGCAATCCTTTCTCTCCTGGAATTGCTAGAGAACTTGTAGATGCTGTCCGTAGACATTATTATTGTAGCTTTTCTGACAAAGCGGATCTGTATCGCCTCCGGTGGAACAGAAAATACCAAGACACTGTTTCCTTTACAAACTGTTCAGTTAAAAGTTAAATTCACATATTCAGATTTAGATTTAGTCAAATTATGTATTTACCAGTGCTGGTAGGGTTTTAACTGTAGAACTTGTTTTAAGTTTGTCTAAATTTACTGATAATCGCCAGTTGCTTGTGGGAAGATGTAGGTCTTGCTGGGGTCCCTGCAGGTAGTAAGGTAATGTAAGTCCCCATTGTCCCTAGCATGGTGGTATTCCTTCAGCTACCTTCGATCTGCAGCCTGTGTTTTCTATTCGGTCTAGCAGCCAGACCCCCAAAATGGTGTGAATGTGGTGCCTTTCTGGCGACCAAACGGGGTGAGAGGTTTCACAATCAGGAATGATTTAGCTTTGATTTACAGCCGGTTGTCATCAGCTACCGTGCGTGACTACCGTGCAGGGGCCATTTTAAGGTGCAACATGTTATGTCAGTTATGGCGATATTTTAACCGATAACTGGATGGTTTAATTTCATAACTCTCGTTTGGATTGACCGATTTTCATCAAAATAGTAGTTTTGGAATGCTCAGATCATGATTTAAACTTGTGGACAATAACATTACTAAATGCTCATCGCAAAAACTGTTGGTAAGGTCAAAGGTCAATTTTAATAGAAAGGGCATATGAGTTGAACTTTACAAATTAAACGTAATTGTTTCCAAAATTATGTTTTTCTAATTCAGCTATATCATTTGAAGATCATATATACCTTTGGTTGGCCTTGTATTCATGAAAAAACATTACAAGGAAACAAAGGTTGGTATTTTGTAATTAGATCAGCAAAATATAAGATAATTTCAGCTCCATGCTTTAAAGTATCAACAATACTAAATATGTCGAAGATACTGTTGAACTATCATACACATTTGTGTTTATTGACATTCTGGCAGAAACAACAATTCAGCTAATGTCAGAAGGAGATATGTCTTGATAAGTGTCAGTATTGCACTGACATGCCGTGAAACCCTTAAAGCTGATTGATAATAAAATGACATACTAACGGAAGGTTTACAAGTGACATTATGGTGTGCCATTTGTTCTGTTTACAATGTGAAATATTACGACTTTGGTTTTCTTGATATATTTTACGCCGGCAATCATTAATACATTTTAAAAGATATGACACACTGATCAGAAAGGCGTTATGGTATCTTACCACCAAATATACAGACAGTCATGTCATCATAACGCAAGCAACATTGTCTTCATATCAATTCGTGTTTATTGTTCTTAATAGTCATAGTGTATTCCTAGTTGACATGTTAGTCAATGTCAACATTGTCAAGACCACGGGAACATGTTTCAAGTCCACATCCACATGCCGAAATACACAACAGGTTCAACCTCTTGCAGCTACACCTTCCTGTACATGCGCAGATATGTTGAAGAAGGTCCACGGAAACGAATTAGTCTATTTAGTATATACGTTGACAGGCGATTTAGAATTATATTTTGCGCGGAAAACCTTGAATCTTCTATACATATTGACAGTAGTGAGTATACTAAATGGATACTAAAAGCCCAACTGTCGTTCCTTTCCCGATTTCAGTATGTCGCATGACTACATTGTCCTTCAAGCAGAGAGTGATTGAACTGACAATAGTTATCGCTTCATGGAATTGGCTCACGTGAATCACTATCTTCATCAGCTGATGAACGTCGACAGTACAACGTAAGCAGTAACTTATTGACATACCTCACCTACATGAACATTACCAAGTCAGCTGTAGTCAGCTGCATTGTTCCAACAATAGATATTATGAAGCCACCAGATGTGATCAGCAGAGTATGTTTCAAATGAAGGACATCTTCTGCTTCCCCAGATCTATATATTTATTTTCCGAAATGCGAATGCTAATGTTACTAGGAGATTAGGTTTTGTAAATGCGTTTCCCTCCTCGTAAGACCACATTCGCTCTGTATCGTTGAGACCTTACTCATGCCAGAAGTCTGACTCATACACCAAACTTTCGGCCCAACCCCTTCTGTAAGTAAACAATAGTCCAAGAATGAAGCCAGTCTAGACCCCCACTGGTTCTGAATCTCCGAGCTCACTTGGGCTAATTCAGTAAATACGGAGTTATGTATTGCTATCAAAATTTCCTATTTTCAGAGGCCTACGCTTTGTATAACGTGCTAGGATCCTGTAATTATGGATCCAAACATGCTTCGGATATGCTTATTGGTTTTTCAAGACCATATCTATATTTCTGAATTTCTCCACATTAAACAACTTAGTAGCCCAGAAACGGCGTGTATTTATGATATTGAATATCTGCTTGATTTTATGGAATATGGAATGGTTAATCCCAGTACATTGTATGTACGATTGCTTGTGCGATCTTTTAATTAACATTATTATTTTTTCCAATTATCCATGGGGTAGTGGAAATAGAGAAAAGATGGGACGTATATGTACAAGGCGTTAAGTCGTTGACACGTCCAAATATCCAGATAACCTACAGCATTGCTTGAAATACTAAATCAATACATTTGAAAACAAACTTACCTAAAAGAACTTTGAAAAGTAAAACAACACTGTGTGAAAGTACCTATGAGTAATGCAGCTTTAAGCAGGTTCCGACCACAAGTATTTTTACAGATGTTTTGTTATTGATTGAATGCATGAATCATGAATCAAGAACTGCATTGTATAATGCATGGATGCGAAACATGTTGCAAACTGTAATGTTCTTGTCAGTTAACACCCAATAAACCTGGAGAGAGTAAATACATATTGCATAGCCGAAACAACTATCAAACCTCAATGTGAATGACAATATTTGAGTCTGTCACATCTGCAGCCCTTTTCTCCCATTCACATTTGTCTGTAGAACTGACAATGAGTTGAAACGAAGTGATTGAGCTGGTGACCTAATGGAAACCTGTCTGCTTGCATAACAATGCTTTGCTTAGCCAGGCCCTCGGTGTGAACCTTGTTTTCAAAGGCTTCTGTATATGTGAATAACACAATGTGAACCAAGTTTTTACTGTGACCATTTTGTTTTAGTACTGATAACATGAGCATATAAAATGTGTTCAAATACATACCATTGATATCCGGAATGATGCCCAATGTTTTAAGAAATGAAAACATTTGAAAATTTACAAATGTTTCCCCATCTAAGAAACTATTCATATTTCGAACCTAAGTAAACTGAGAAAAGAGTCGGAATTTACATCACCTATTACACTCAAAAAGAATGTATTGGAAATACTGTGTTTTTCAGAGGTATATGAGGGGCTGTATATTGGTGGTAAGATACCATAACGCCTGTCTGATCAGTGTGTCATATCTTTTACAGTGTATTAATGATGTGTAAAATAAATCAAGAATAATACAAAGTCGTAATATTTCACATTGTAAACATTCTTCCGTATGCTGAGAAAGTTTACTTACAAAATATACAGAGTCAAAAAAGAAACTTCACATTCTTTCTTCAGGGCACTATAAAAGAACAAGAGAAGGTAAGATGGTTAAATTGTTATTATTTCATTGCTGAGATCTGTGTGATGTACTCGATACACTGACAGTGCCATAATCAGTTCCATTAGGCTA